CGTGCGGCCAGCCAAGCCGCGGAGAGCAAGCTTCAGTGGCAGAGAGAAGGCAAAAACTGGGGAACTTCTGGTTCTTTTAGTTGTGCCTGCTGACACCGGTGTCCGCCGAGAGGAGACCTCCCCCTGCTTGTCAAGTTGTTTTCGCGGCACGGGCTTGTTAGGCGGCTGGTTTGCCTGGGGTGACTTGCTCGGGAAAGGGGAAAGCAGCCCGCTGAAGACAGCTATGAAAATGCTCGACAGTGTTAGTAAACAAACTCAAGCTCGTGTCTGCCCTGATTAAGAATCGTTGTTACAGTATGCTCTGAATTTAGCACTCCTAGAAGTTAGTAGGGTTATAAGGTTCTGGCGTGATGTCGTGGAGTTGTGCGTATTGCCACTTTCTGATTCTCAGTGGTCTGAAGATGATTGCGTGTTTAATTCACCCGCAACCTTATCTTCGTTCGTGGAGTTTGGAGATGAAGGTGACGGTACTTCTTAGCATATTCGGTTCAAGAAAAGGCTATGGGGGATAAAATAATACCTACCTTTTCTTTCTTTCTTTTTTGCTATTTGAAAAAAAAGAAGTCTTCAGCTTCAAGCTTGTTTCTCTTGATTAGGGCCTCTTCTCAAATCAGTGGCTTGTTTATATTATGCAATATAGAAAACATGTGCTGATATATGCGGAGAGATTGATGTTCTGCAAAACATGCACTTTATGTCCACAAGTATCATTTAACAGTTCTGAAACACGAAGATAAAATTTATTTTTTTTTCAGAATGTTATGCTGAGTTCTTCAAAGAAGACTTTGATGTCAAAAGTTACACTTCTCAGTCTATCCATCAGGCTGTGATAGCTGAACAATTGGCAAAGCTTGCACAAGGTATTAGTCAATTGGATAAAGAGCTTCATTTACAAGTAAGTTTAAAACATCCCTGTTGTTCTGGGGTAGTTGATACAAACTGGTTAAAAGTTGGGTAGTCTTTTGATCTTGCTGCCTCTGAAATTACCCAGTATGCTCAGTGTGCGATCACTAAATGTAGAACGTGGTGTAAAAGTAGTAGTGAATCTGACACCTGACTGGGTCAACTCAAGTCTTAATATCCCTACCAGAAAGCCATGTGCTGTTTTGTTTTGAATTTCTGTGCTCAGGGTCTGTGTGCTTGGAGGCTCCACTGTCCTTTGGGAGGATGTTAGCTGACATGATCATTTGGAAAGAGTCAGGGATCAGAAAAACTGTTTTTTGGCATGGTGATTGTGAGAAGATACTGAATGACTGAAGATAACTGAGTGATGATTCAGTCTGCAGCCTTTCAAGCTGTGCTGGAGTCTATGCTGTGATCGTTACCTTTAGCTGGGCAAACGTAACCTGTATTAACATACCTCCACACCTTCAGAATGGGTTTGAGTTTGGATAGAGCAGAAGATTTTGTGCTAGAATCCATACAGACACTTAAGTTGAGCTTGCCAGGAGAACGCTTGCCAAGTTTGTGTTTAGTATCAAAAGTGCACCCCCAAATGCACCCCTCCTGCGTCGGTAAATTTTTAGAGAATGAGTTTTTAAAATTTACCTCCAATAAATATAAATTAAAATGCTAAAAATGTGAATATGCATTCTTATGTGGCGATTAACAAGCGTACATTTACAATGATTGTTATATACGAGAGCATGTTGAAATGTCACTGTACTCTGCTGGCTTTAATTAACATCTATTGGCTGAGCTGCAATAACTGACTGTCTTGTAATTCTGAGCTCACTCTTTTTGTGAATTAAAATATATTTTCTGAAAACCTTTTCATTTTTAAAGTGTGACCACTATTTTCTGTGTCTGCATAATGCAGGAAGGTGATCATGTTTTGATAATTCCTTTCAGGCTTGCATCTCCATTCTGTGATGATTTCTCATCTCTCTCTTTTTTTTTTTTTTCCTCTTGGTATTTTCTTTTTTTAAGGTTGTTGCAAGACATGAAGACCTGTTGGCCCAAGCAACTGGGATTGAATCCCTGGAAGGTAAATGCGTTTACATTATGTTTGCTGCTGCTTATAATTGAGAAAGTGCTGTTAATGTCTGCGCAGGTAATATCTTTCACTATCTACTTTGGCTCATGATGTTATCTGTTGCAGATCCTACTTCTGAGGAGTAACATTTGGCTATTTTTTTTATGTCAGCAGAGGGAGCTCCAGGGAGAAGAGCTGAACAATATTTCTCTGGTGTAACTACTTCATAGGAAAAAATATTTTGATAATCAGTCCTGAGAAACTTTAACAATCAATTCTTTCTGACCTTTTAACATATTTCTCTAAATAAGCCTAATTTTAATGGAACATTAGGTAATATCTGTTGCTGTAAGTATGAAGTTTGTAAACACCGCATTTGCATGTGTCACAAATTCTGCAAATCTTAACCAAAGAGGCTTTAACACATAATCTTAATTACACTTTTTTTTTTTTCAAGTAAGAGGCTACCAAGTTTAATATATACATTTATTTTATTCCACAGTTTAGGATCTGGCTTTTAGTAAGGCCTTTTTAAATCAGTAATTTTTATTATTGAATCTGTATGGAAAAAATGTTTGCAGTGTACAGTACTTGTGCCAGGAGCAGAGCAGACCTGTCATTCTGCTCCCTGTTACCTGCCAGGGGTTTCATAGCGTCTTCTTTCCTTGTGCAGAAGGATACTTATTTCTACAACACGTGCTTCTTTGCATATACCATGAGATCTATGCGTCTTCCCTCCCCCTGCCATTTTGTGACTTGATAAGTATCTTTGTCCTTTTTCACACTTTCAGGTTTTGGCATAACCAGCCAGTTTCTGGCTGCTGACAGTCAGACTGTCTCCCGAGTCTTGTTGGATATAGTATTCAATTGTTTGCATTTACATATAGATATAAAAATAGAGAAATGCCTGTTTAATCTAGCAATGTTAACTCTCAAATTGCTTTTTAAACAGTGGGGAAAATTAAGGCGTAGGAGGACTTGAATCTGCGTTCATCCTCCAAATAATAAGTAAATAGGAATCTATACTGTGCATCAGTCTAGTGACTGATAAATGTCTCTCGGTCACAACCTTCAGCAATCTGTGCTCAGTGGAATCGTGTTCTGAAATCCTGCTCGTTTCTGCAGGCATTCCTTCCTAGAATAGTTGTTGGCGCACTTCATTCTGAGGAATGAATGAAGTACTTCAAAATAACTGGTTTTGAAACACTTCTGTAAAGCAAATATGGTGAATTATGCATGTTATACAGGTAATAACACAAAGGAAAATTAAGAGCTAATCTCCTAAAATTTGTTAAAATTTCTTCATTGATATGGGGTTGTGCTCTCTAAGAGTCTCTTCTGTGGGTGAGGGAAGGAGACGCGCGGAAGGGTTCTAATCCTGGAAAGCATTTGACACTTCAAATATCAGCAGAAACTTCAGTTCTGCAAGTTAACAAGGCAGGGTCAAAAGTCTACACTTTACGTTTTGTGAAACTTCTCTTACCTCTACCTGGCTTGTGCTACACGTAATATGACATGGTCGCTGTAAAGGAAACACTGAGTCAAGATTCATAGGAAAAAGAAAAGGTTAGTGTCAATAGAAATATTCATTTTGAAGGTTAAAACGTACAGCTCAGGGCATCGTCATGTGTTTATCATGAAAACTATGAAGTGAAGATTATGGAGCTAACTTACAGCACGCGGAATCATTTGGATGTGCCAAAGTGGATCTCATTAAAGATTTCAAATAAATCTTTCTCAACTAGTAGAGCAAATTGCTTTCTTTTCAGGTCTGTGCGTTTTAACGGTACAATAATCTGCTGTACATACTCTTTTCTGGTTCATTAGCTCAAGATAAGCTAAGTAGCATCATCCCATATCTTATACAGCAGACACAGGGGGTAGATTCTCTTCTTGCCCATCCCAGTTCTGCCTTCTGGCAAGAAGACTGCTCTATGCTATTATAGTAATGTAACAGTAATAGCTGTACCAATGTCATGTTATTGACCCTCCACCGTTACTGCAGTACAGAGTAGAAAATTCAACCTGTTCAGCCAACTTTTCCCTGTATCTTATATCTTCATCTTTTGATGTGCAAGAATTGCATGCTTGCTATTGCAAGTATAAATGTCAGAGGAGGTCTGTTCAATCTATCAGTAAGCCAAGTTTATAATTTTGAAATATGGAGAAGATGGGAGTTGGCATATTTATAAAAAAAATTCCTGAGATACGATCCCTGTACAGGGCAAGCTGAATATAGATGAATAGATTAGCATGAGTTCTGTATGTCTTTTGTCTTTCGATATTGTATTGTAATTTTGACCGATCTGATGAAGAGATGCTTGTAAACAAGCTTTACAAAACTTGTAAACTTGCTTTACAAAAACGTAGAATGTTTGAGAACGCTCACAATAACTGAAACAAAAATAATTTCGTGAGTCTGGGTTTGCAGAAATTAATTAAGTTCTCAACAGACTGATTCTGTATTGTAAAGTATGGCTACTACCTTTGACCGCAATTTAACAGGAAAAAAACAAGCGTGCTTATGGGCTTTCTTTGTGCTGCTTTGCTGAACTAATTTGGAAAAAATGTGATTAGGGTAGTGGGCTCTGTTTGTAATCTAAATTAGATAATCTCACAGTGACTTTGATACCTTACTTTTTTCTTCCTCTAGCATCTTTAGCTAACCTTGAAATAGAACTAGTTATTTTCTCAGTCCTCCTTGTGTGTTGGTTTCTCTGGATTGACTAGTCTTTATGTTGAAAAAGTTATGCCATTTTTGTATGTTATGTGCAGGCAATACGTTTTTGAACAGTAGTCCCAGTCATCACGCTCTTAGAAAGTAACATACTCTAAATAGCTTATTTGAAACTTAACATATGATGAATTTCAAAGCGATATTTCTTCTGTATGTGTGTGTTCTCTACCAATAAATTTTCCGTAACATTCAGTAACTGACTGACTACCTGCTCAATTTATGTCAAAATATGCTGTGTCTCATTCATTTCACTCTATCTGCATGTGTTGTTGTAAAGTGGGAAGCTCTGGTTTTTATGCTAAAGTAGTCTTCAGTAGATGTTGTGATTTGAAGAACAGTCCCTTCAATAGTTAAGTGTTACGTTGTAACAAGTCTGCTTTATTTTACAGGTGTCCTCCAAATGATGCAGACCAGGATTGGTGCTCTACAGAGTACTGTTGATAGGTATGCCATTCATTGTAACTAAAAAGTATAAATTCTTAATTGTTCTGTCACGTAATTCATTATTATTTCCATAAATAAATATCTCTTCTTATTTTTAGAATTAGAGTCAAAATTGTTGACCCCTACAACAAAATAGTATCTCGCACAGCTCAGCTAGCAAAGCTTCAGGTAAGTTGCATTAAAAATATATTTCAAAAATCATGTTTGTTTCCAAATTTTCTAGAGCATGCAGAAAAGGTGAATTATCAGATATGGGTAGAATTTGCATATTCCAGAAGACTGTAGTTTGTTGCCAGTATTTCTTGATGAAATTAGGTGTTTGTGTGTCTCTTCGTGAACTCATAAGAAGTACTTCCTATTGAAAATTAGGAAACTTCAATAGAAGTACTTCCTATTGAAAATTAGGAAAGTTTGCACTAGTTAGGTTAATTCTTGTACAGATGGAGAAAAGAATGAAGGATTATGAGAGTACAGATTAATTTAAATTCTCGTTACTGTTTGTGGTTTTTTTGATATGTAATGTTACAGTGCAATCTCGTAGAAGTTGTTTTCTTCATTTAGTTAATGCATATTTAACTGCAGTTTAGTAAAGCGTTTGGGAGTAAATTCTTTTAAAATAGTCAAAAGGCAGCTTACCGAGCTAATGGTGGTTCTGGAGTTTTATAAGCCTAGGTACGTCATTATGCCTGTCTTTTTAAAAAATAAGTGATGTCTACAGAGAATGTAGTTGCCTGTTAGAAGAGGGCAATGGGAGAGCGCTTTTCACAAGCATGGTGAGAGAGCTATCAAACGCTTCTATTGTTAAGTTTATAATAGTGGAAAACTATTCCATAAACCTCCGGGAGTCATGCAGCTGCATTCGAGTGTAACTGTTCAGTTTGTCATCTGAAAAGCAACACAGCCCCAAATCTCTAAATGTTAAATGAGTTATTGTTTGAATTGTTTCTATTAACCTATTTACCTTAGCTTTGCAGAACTTATCTTTTAATGGCTGAAATTTGAGTTGCAGATATACACTCAAGTAGATTGTCATCTGTGGGTCACCTGACTGGTGTTGTACAGCAGACTGGGTGAAGCTGTAGACTGTCATGCAGTTCCTAGTCTGAGTGCTGGTGGAGCAACTGCACCCATCTCTCAGCCGAAGTTCTGATATTTACTACGTTACTTTCAAGGTCAGCAGGAGGCTCTTAATAGTCTGTTCAGGCAGTTTGTTCAGCTGCTCCTCCTGTCTTTTCTAACTCCAGCTCTTGTTGTTTTTGCTGCTGGGACTTCCAGGTTAGGTGCAGATTTTGTTCTCTGAAGTATGTTGCAGTTGTGGAGAGGACTGGAGAGATTTGGGGCTAAAGATGAAGATCACTTTTGCCCTGACCTCACACGAAGTCAAAGTCTGGAGGGATCTCTGAGAAGAATGAGTCCCTGAACTTTGACAATGTTTCTCAGGTGCTCTTTGCTTCCTCTGCGCTGTAGCAGCAGTATGGCCATACAGAGGTTACTTGGCTTATTCTGACCTTGATGTAGTCTGAAAGCAGCAGGCGCCTGGGGTCAGTGTTGTTCAGGCTGTGCCAGGGAGTTTGAAGTGTCTGGGTTTTCTTGGCTGTGAATTTATCTTGTTCTAAAACATGATCAGAAAGAAGTGCAGGGTAAAGGGAGCCTCCTAGGCTACCCATCCTAGCGGATAGTGCATCCAAACCTGCCTTCTTACCTCAACATAGAAGGATGACTCCAGTTTCTCTGCTAGTAAGAGTCTGTCCTCTGCATGAGAGCTGCTGCGCTCTCCTGTGTTGGAAGATCCATTGCGAATGCTGTATGTCGCACGACACTGCTGGGAGGAATTGAGACTCGGGACAGCTGAATTACGCAATGAAACTAGAGTTAAGGAAAGTTGAGTCAGTAGGCCTTTGAAATCTCAGCCCTCCTCTGTCCCTAAGACACGCTGCTGTTTTGTCTTTCTACCTAGCCACCTGGTTTGTTCAGGAAGGGAGGGCGTCAGCGTGGCAAACAACTCACTTTCTGGCTGTGGCAGAGCTTGCAACATGAAATTGCTTGTTTCTGTCTCAAATATGTGAGACTGGTAGCCTGGGACAGTTTAAAACTTTCAAATTTACTTTTTCTACTAACTGTACATAAACTGATTAAAAAAAAAAAGTAAATGACTGATAAAAGACATTGCTGACTGTCAAAGCTCATAGTGTTGGCAGATACGCTTTGCTGAACTGTGATGTTTAAGGGCCTCTTGTACTCATGATCGTGCTATTTTAGTGCTTCTCCATTGATTGCTATGGGACTGCTTAAAAACTGAAGGAGTATTTGGTTTGCATAAAGCTGGATTTTGCCATCCTTAATTGTTTTTAATATAGGCTGGCTTTTTCATAAACATTCTCGCTGCAAATTCATTGCCAAACTTCAAATCTAGTGCTGAACTCTAAATCTCTGCTTTGTGCTTGTTTATGTTGCATCTTCCTCTGCTTTTACAGCTTCATGGCATCCCAGGGGAGCAGCAGACTCGCAAAGCCTACTTCCTACTTTAAATCATACTATCTTCTTCTGAGCACATTCATAGTCTTTCCTTGGCAGATCACAAACTAAATGGGATTAGTTAACAGCTGAAATATGTAGCCAGAGAACATGTTCAGCTCTGCCTGACCAAATGTTTCCACCTGATTTTTTAATGTCAGGTACCTGTGTTTAAAAATCCCTATACTATAATATCTGATATTTTTAAAGCTTTTTATTTCAAAAAACCAAAAGTTATTTCTGTATTTTAAAATTATTCTCTTTAAAATATTCACCAATAACAGATTTCCTTCTGGTACTGTGGCAGCTAAATAGCAAATGTAGTCTGAAGACAGTGAATTGTTTGATCGTTCTTCAGGCTTCTGTTATGTATACATTCAGTTGCATATATGATCTGGCAGAAATGGGCAGTTTCAAGTGGTCCTCTTTTTATACTTGCCTTTCCTCAGTAATTTCTTAAAACTAACCTGAGATTAAAAATAAGAGGGTTTACAGTTGTTTTAATTGTAGCAATAACGTCTCTCTTAGTGTTAATATGTTGCTTTAAATTTCAGCAAATAACTGTTTTGTAATCTCCAGAAAATTTGAGTTTTATTTCCAATCGTAGTAAAACCACTGAACTAACTCAGGCCGCAGGCCTCCTCCTGAATTAATTCTTGCTTGAACAGTGGCATTTATTCAGGAGACAGTCACTGATACAGTATGCTTTTCTAAGGCTTTCATCCAAGATGGAATTCATTCAGGTTTTTGTTTTGCAGGTGGTTAAATTAGATGTTTTTCATAGTCCTATGCAGTTTTATGATCTAGTATCAATGAACTACTCCACTATTAGATAAAATGTTACATTGTTTTACAGCGACTGAGAGTTTTATTAAGTTGAACGTTCCATTAAGTGGAAATACTTGGAAGAAACGATTTTTTTGTCAAGGGCACAGTGTAGTAGTTAAGCTATGCACTCTTAACTATGAAGTTAAGAGTGCGTCTTACCTTCAGTGTATTTGGATTTTTTCCCCACCATTTTTTTTTTTTTCTAATGCAGAGGGCCAAAAGTTAAAACTTGTTTTTACTTTTGTATCTAAATGTAACTTTACCCATCTCTCAATCAGTTCGATAATCCTTTTAAAAGATAATTTGCTATGCTTGTTTCTTGGGATGGTAGATAATGAACAGCAGTCAAATGAAAACAAAATTGTCTTTTGGGATGTAAAGTAAAAGATGGTCAGAAGGTAAATGAAGCTGAATACCTAGGAAAGAATTAGCCAGAGGTACACAATTGGATTAGAAAATAATTAAATCTGAAAAGAAAGTAGTAATACTATGCCCTCCTATTTGGTGAAGCGCAGTGCACTATATAAAGCTATTTTTCATTCCTCTTGCAGAAATTAGTTCAAAGATGTGAAGGGCTATGCGGATCAAGATTTTTCCTAATTAAGGAAATGAATTAATAAAAACTAATGCGTTAATCTCTCAAAGTAGCATAAGCCCCACTTGATTCTCACTAATGATAATAGAAATCATGTGGTTAAGTCCTCTTCTAATGCTTAGGGAACTTGCACTTCAGACTGTGTGATAGTGCCAAAAGCACCGAGAGTAACTGTGTTTTCAGTGATTTGTCTCAGTGGAGCATTTCTTAATTTTTCTTTTTTTTTATTGCCTCTAGGTTTGAAGAAAGTTGAACTATAAATACTATATTGTCATTGGTTTGTGCCAGCATACTAGAGAGATTGACCAGTTGTTCAGTCTACTGAATGAATATTTGTTGCAATGACTCATTGGTATATGTTTTCGTATGCGCGCTTTCATGTCAGTTTTCAAGATATTAACTTGAGTTTTAAACAAGGGGTTCAAAATCTGTCAGATACTAAACATTTCATATATGTATATATAATACAGATTAATTCCATTTTGATGTCCATAAGGTAAATATTTCAGGAGGCTTTCTCTTCAGTACCACTTCAAATTTCATGTTTACTTGTAGTCTCCATCATCTGCAGTAAGATTCACAAGTTTTACAGTAATGCCTGTGACTGTAGAGAAGATATGTGGATTTCAATACCTTCTCCTAAATTGCGTTTCTGAACTCTACTTTAGATTTTATCCATTCCAGAATGTTACTTCTGCTATTGCATGTACCCCCTGACCTGACTGACCCACTCCGATCCTAATGAACTCAGTATAATCTCTATTATTTCTATGGTCTATCTCATAACTGTTCTCTTTTTTTTTTTTTTTTCATAAAGACTTCCACACATCATCTTTAATACTCTTTCTATCAGTATATAGTTCTAAACCAGCCTTTCTTAGGAAAGACCTTCAGTAAATTTGTTTGGGCCTCCACAACGGTGTGTCTAGTTGGCATGGTGGTGAATTAGCCAGTGTAGAAACTTGTAGTTGATGTGTTTTAAAATTACTTGACAAGCAGGTAATTTAAATAGTTGGTGTACCTGAGCTGTGTAGTCTAAAACCAGCTTTGATCCGTCTCCAGTATGCTTGCAGCTTGTAATCGATTCGTACCCACTGTGATCAGAACTTTCTTTCATTATAGGACTTCTCAAAATCCATGATGTGCCTAATATTAACTTTTACTGTTTCTTTGTCTATGTTGTTTACTGCTTAAAAGGAGAAGATCTGTTTCAAGATCTTGGTTGAGTGAAAAGTTGTGAGCCTATTGTATTTGAGTAGGATGTCACCAATGCTTTTATTCTGAATTGGTGCTAATGAAAGCATAAGCGAGTGCTTCCTGAAAACTTGCATGCACATGTAGCTAATTAATTTTTAATCAAGAATGTGATGTACTTGGCAAGCCTATGAAATAGTGCGAGTTAACAGTTGCTTGAATAAGGGTGATTGGCGTTAATGAAACTTTTGATCAAAATGAATTTGTATATGCATTCCCACCATAACTGTCAAAATGTATGATAACAGCTTTGAGTCTTTACATTTTATTGTCCTCTGAGATAGACGCTGGCATTTTTCTTATTTTACAACAACCTTTGATTGGCAAAGCCAACTTTAACTTAATTTTACTAAAGTTTGGGGAGGGGAGGAGTGTTAAGGTACAGAATATGCGATAAAGCTCACTTCTAGTTGTAAATAGAACACGTCTCTGTCATAGGTTTCTGATTTCCTCTTTTGCTAGCAATGACAGCATAATCTCCATAGCACTAGGAATGTAGTTTCCACCTTTAGAAAGTATTTGTTCTATATTGCATAAAATTATGCAAAAATAATCCTTAAAAAAGGGAGCTTCAGTTTTCTTCAGTGCCTTGCTTTTATTCACATTCATGCTTCCTTTTAGGGGATGCTTTTGGTTAAAATGTTTCCAGGCTTGAGACCTAAAATTATATGGTCAAAGTGTAAGGATAATATCCCCTAATGCCGTGATTTTTCTGAAGGCTGCCTGTGACTTGCTGCGGAGAATAATACGCATCTTGTATCTCGGTAAGAGACTTCAAGGACAGCTGCAAGGAGGAAGCAGAGAGATAACAAAGGCTGCCCAGAGTCTCAATGAACTCGGTGAGTCCTTCTTAATTATTTTTAGAGGCATTTTTATCTTGCGTTCCCATGGCTTACTTTAGTGCTTCACTTGGAAAAATCAAAGAAACTCCCAAAACTTTTTACTATGGTTCCCATTGTCTACTTTTTGATGTGAGTTGAGAAATGATATGGACAGCGTTAGTCCCCTCAATTTTTTTTCATTTGACTTTTCTAGATACAGTTATTTTATGGATTTAATAACTTACGCCCTTTTGGGCAACAATTTTTTGGGGGGCAATTAATTTCTTACTGGCTTGTGTTTGCATGAAATACCTTAAGAGGTGACAGGTTGCATATTTAGCTTTTGGAAGCCGTTGCATGATAGTAAGATATAATTTGAATTACAATTTGCATCTTTACAAGGTTATTTGGCCCTGTGACCTTTATGAAAGCTGTTTGTGGTATGGTATACAGATACCTGAACTAATTCAGATACTGGAAGCATTCTGCTGCACTGGTGACTGAATTTACCCTGCCTTTTACCAGATTCTAGGAAAAAGAATAGAGTAGTTCACATGGCGCTTGGGTTACATTGCTAGACTCCTTTTAGTATGTGTGCCAGCTTGGGTGTTTCCACACTGTGCTGCAGGAACAGTGAAGAATATCCCATTAGTCTTGGAGATCTGTCATTGTTGTTGTGTAAGGTATCTTGCCAGCTGTTTCTCCTTTGGTTTAATGGCATTCAAATTTCAGCTTCCAAAAATAGGTTGTGGGAGGGCTGAACTATCAAACATTCAGAATCATCCTGAGGTTTATTGTGCATATTTGTCACTACTGCTCTTTTCATACTGTGTAATCAAAAAATTATTAGACAATGATTTAGTCTTATAATTAACGGATGCTGTGTTGCAAATGGAAAGTTTATATATTTATTTAGTACACCAATTTGACTGAAACACTTGAGCATCAATTGTAGTATTGTAAGCCAGCAGAGCTTTTTCCGGTATCTTCCTTCTTTGGTCTCTCCTCCTGTGTTCGTGACAAATAAAGTAAATACTGTCTCTTAATTACCTGAATTACAAGTCTTATGGGGTTACTGTGCGTGATAGATTCTGTTCAAGTAATTAGTATAGTTTAATGGCAAAATCTAAGATGTTTTTTCTGCCTTATGCAATTTTTAAGGTTTTTTTTTTTTTACCTTTTATTACATTAAAAAAGGAAATTTCCCGGTGCCCCCCCCCCCATGTAACACATTTTTGAGTTTCTTCTTACAAATACTTGGTCTTTCTCTGGACCTTAGGGAAGCCTGAGCAATTATTGTTGTTGAATATGAAGGGAAGCGTGTGACTTTAGGAAGCACTTTGAGTTTCATCCTACAATCCACAGGGGTGAGCCCTGTGGCCCTTAATTTAACTCTGAGTGGCCTGTGGCTAGGTGAAATCCCTTGTCTCCTGTCATTTCTCCCTCTGTCTCTTCTTCTGATATCTCTCCCTTTTTCCTCCCTTCTCTCTTCATCTGCATCACTCCCCCATCCCTCGTTAGCTCTCTGCTCATTGTTATTCTCCATTGCCCATCGTACTCTTACCACCTCCCAGCTGGCCTCTGCTCAGCGGTACCAGCCATGGAGCGCAGGCTTGGGTGCACCTGAGCACATGGAAATGCCCCATGGAGGAGAGGCCGGGATAGTAGGGGGTATGTGGAGCGTGGGGGACAGGAGGGGTCCTGTGTGGTGATGCGGTGATTTACTAATTATGGGGTAACGTTGGAGTTCGAGGTATGGCCAGGGCAGCATGCTTGGGGCAGCGCTGTACTCTGCTTCTGGCCTTGGGCAGCACTGAGCTGTGTGGGTTATCTTGTAGGGTGGAGGTGGTGGTGGTATGGGACAGGAGAGCAGTGAGGGTGCGGGGGCTTGGAGCGAGCTTGTGGGAATGCTGCGCTTCAGCCAGGTGGGAAGCATGATGTAGTGCTCTGTGGCATTGGGAGGATGGGAAGCACAAGGGACAGACGTTGGGTGCTAGTTGCTTGGTGGTGAGATACAAAAGCTATGGGAGGGCTTAAGAAGCGCTATGACGTCTGATGGTAGTAAATAGGTGATAGGGCTGCGTGGTGTGAAAGCCCAGAACTGGAGCTCTGCGTCATGGCGGTTTACCTCAAACTGGGGAATCTTGACCAAGATCAACATTAATTTGTGTTTTTAACCAGAAGTGTTTGACTATCCCTTTCAGCTCTCGTTCAAGGAAAAATTCTTCGCATAACGAGTGCAATAGAAAGGTAACAAGCAGCGCGGTATATAGTGCCTATTTTGCTGAAATCGGCAGCTTCATGGTTTTATCTTAAAAGCTTGGCATTTGTTATGGTTTAGTATAACTCTTACTGCTTACAGTTTTTTCTGGACTGAGTCTAGGGATAACTGTCCATATATATTTTTACTTATTGATATGTGCTGTGTGGGAGTTGGGTAGGGGAAACCTTGTGAGTGCCATTTTGGTACGTGTACACAGTATGTATTTCCTCAGCAAATTTAATGTTAGTTAAATTACATTTTATATTCAGTTGTGGCTTGAATATTATTTTGCAGTGAGGGGAAAACACATGATAAAAATATAAAATCTTAGATTGAAATAGGGATTAATCCTCCTTTGTCAGAGGAACTACAAGAAACAGTAGTTTTTACTGGGAAGGGTGTTTTTAACAGTTACTTTGAGTTGCTGCTGGTCTGCAGAGCTCCAACCCAGTTGACGCCGTTAGGTACTACAGGTTTACTCTGAAAGCATTTAGTAGTGTATTCACCGAGATCTACGCTAAAAGCTAAAGCGGATACAAAATTCCTCTGTGTTAAACTTTTTTACATTTGTTGAAATTAACTTCCCAGCTTGGCACAGTAAGAAGAAAAAGTGAATCCTGTGTGTAATTTTTAGAGATGAAATGCTATTTGTATTTTAATGACAATATTTAAATATTTTTCCAACTTTTCCACTGTATCCCTTTCTTCTTTCCTCTCTTCCACCCTCCCCCTGCCCCAACTACTTTGGGTCCTTTCAGCAAAGTAGAACCAGAGCTGTGGCAGTCCACTGCGTAGGCTGTTGTCTGGTTCTCTTGTGATAATTCTTCATTCAAATAACGCAAATCTGATTCAGCACATGGGCAGGTAAAGAAAGCAGCATGTTCAGATGTCAGCGTAGTGGCTAGCACAGTGGATTACATGCTCTGACTAGACCTTGGTGACACTTTAATAAAAATATTCTATAAGGTGAAATAGAAGCATTTCTAAGCAAGTTCAAACGACATAATGTGACAAGAAGAAGGTACGTTACATACAGTTCCCATGCACAGAAGGAACTGCATGGGCATTAAGAAATCTGCTGTCTTTTCTGTGGGCGTGTAGAAATTACCGTCTCTAACATGGTCTGTAACTGATCAGATGAAGATTTAAAAAATTCTTAGCTGCACACTGAATTCCATTTATTAGTTATGGAGCTGGCTTCTGGATAATAAGGAATTTATATCCTTTGTTTGTTGTATACGTATAACTGATGTAACCATTATTCATATAAATGCCTACTTGTCTTTTAATTATAATAAACTCCTACTGTCTATGTATAGTTCTGTTATAACTTATTTCACAGCAAGTGAATTCATTTGCTTGAATGACCTTGTGTGCATATAAAACTTTGAAATAGGCTCTCACAGCAGCCATAATTTTGCTCTTTTGTATACCCGGACTGAATCTGTGACTAAGCTGTGCAGCCGTAAAATGAAGAGGAAATGATTTATTGAAAAATTTTTGGGGTGTCCTGGAGCAGCTTTGTTATTAAGACAGTACTGCCTTTCACGTAACTTAAGAGAAGATGGGGGGGGAGATATGACCATGACCTTACTTTAAATGTAGATGATGGTAGGAAAAGAGGCAAAATATCATCAGATATGGAAGTCTAACTAAAATGGAAAAAGCACTAGATAGGTGTCATAATCTTTATAAAGATATAGCAAAGCTTGTACATTGCAGTTATTTAGGTTTAACACAATAGAGGGATTTAAGGGAATTTCCAAGCAATAAAGCTCAGTTTTGGTAAGTGCAAAGACAAGCATGTCGGATAGGAAAAAAAAGAAGAAATTAGTTAGGATATACATGGTACTGGGTGAAATATAGTTTGAAAGAAGTTATTTGGCTATATCTGAAAGGCCCTGCTGTAGCTGGCATAACGTAGGTAGTGGTAGGTAACCCCATCTTCTTAAAATGCCAGGAACTAGTGACGTCCACAGAAAGGTGACAGTGATCTTGGGCTTGAAGAGCTTGCCTGTGAAGACTAGGAAGGAAAAAAAAAAAAAAGAAAAACCTTTCACCTTTCTAAGGAAAGCAAGATGGAGTATGATATCATTTAAGCAAGAAAAAGCCTACCTACAGCTACATCTGTTAGAATTGAAATAAGAAGCAATGTGTGGGGGCAAATGACCTCTTATCTGCCTAGCTTAATGGGTGTTGCATCGGTGAGACCTTGCGTCTCATCTGATATTGCAGTTTCTCTGTTTCAGTGTACTTTTTCTGGTATTCCTACTGCATACGGCTCTCTGGAGTTTCTGCAGAAAGGGAATGCCATTATGAAAATCATGAAGCTATCTGTAGTCTTACAGCTCTTGTCACTCAGTTTGTGTCATACAGTACTCAAAATAATGCTTTATTAGGGGGAAAGAATTAAGTTTCTCTGTAGAAATTCACAGGCTTTTTTTTTTTTTATTCTTGTAGAATATCATTATGTGGTGTAGTAATGTTACATGGTCTGTCTTTTCCCTATCTTTGAAAATGCTTATGATAGCGTAAAACCTTTCCAAATATTTTAAACTTAAGAAATCTAATTTTTTCTTCTTTTTCTCTGTACCTGTTAAGACTTGACCTAGTCTACAGAGGAGAGAGTGTATTATTCCTTTGTGTGCGTATGTGTGTGTGTATTCCATATGTGTGTGTATGTAAATATTTAAAAATATAATATTTTTATGGCTTTCTGTAGGACTTTCCCTCTCGCTGCTATAAAGCAGCTCTT